ACAGAACTTAGCAAAGACGAAACACTAAAACAGACAAAAAATTATTAATTCAGAAATTCGAGAAGAAAGAGCAATGTAGGAACTTACCAAAAATTAAATTCTGAAACAGACAAAATTTTATTAAGGCAAATATAAATTATTTCATTACTTACGTAAAATAAAAATCTGAAACAGAAAAAATTCTATTAACACAGAAAATTGTGAGAGGAGGAGGAAAATTTTTTTTTATTTCATACAAGAATTTCAAAAAATACAAAACGCAATGAAAATTGCGGATTTGAGAAAACAACAGAACTTAGCAAAGACGAAACACTAAAACAGACAAAAAATTATTAATTCAGAAATTCGAGAAGAAAGAGCAATGTAGGAACTTACCAAAAATTAAATTCTGAAACAGACAAAATTTTATTAAGGCAAATATAAATTATTTCATTACTCACGTAAAATAAAAATCTGAAACAGACAAAATTCTATTAACACAGAAAATTGTGAGAGGAAGAGGAAAATTTTTTTTTATTTCATACAAGAATTTCAAAAAATACAAAACGCAATGAAAATTGCGGATTTGAGAAAACGACAGAACTTAGCAAATACGAAACATTGAAACAGACAAAAATTTATTAAAACAGAAATTTGAGAAGAAAACATATTAGCTTACCAAAAAGTAAAATCTGAAACATACAAAATTTTATTATCCTAACAAAATTGTACGAGAAGAAGTGAAACAACCCTATCGAAAAACAGAAAACACAATGACAATTACGAAATTAAGATCAATCAACAATAAAACAATTTATTCAAAATCAATTCCTGAAACAGAGAAAAATAATTAGCACATAAAATTCGGGGAAATTAAAATCGCGAAGGGGTATAAAAATCACGAAGGGGTATACAAATCGCGAACGGATATAAAAATCTCGTATCTCAAAATTTAATCGCGAAGGGATACAAAAATCTCTAATTTTGTACTGTAATCGCGAAGGGATGCAAAAATCTCTAATTTCGGAATGTAATCGCGAAGGGACACAAAAATCTCTAATCTCAAAATTTAATAGGGTGGGCATAAAAATCTCGAATCGCGAAG